CTCACAAGCAGTATCTGCATCAATTGTTCCACGAGCTTTTGTCCTTGCCAATCCATCTACAATAGACGGCACAAAAACAAATGATAAAACTGCACATTATCACAAAACAAGAAGAATAGAAGTATATACTTGATCTATCCATCCAATCAACTATCCATTAGTCCCAACTCCCAACTCACAAACTAGTTAGGATCGATTATATAAATCTTTCTTTATTCAGTGACTTCACCCAACATAAGATAATATACTTTCTAAAGCATAATAGACTTCCCTTCAAATAGAGAATGCTTAATCCCACATTTATCGGTACATAGACTAACTTGTAAGTTTCTAACAAGACTAACAAGGGACTCTTGGCAAACATAGGACACATAATGTAAGCATAACAAAAACTGAGCTATAATTCAACTAGTTGGCATAACCTTTATTGTTCCTTTTGTTTCAATTGTGACTTAATCGGTTAATCCTCTTTCTACGTGATAAAAAGTAATTCTCAACATCCACGTTCTACGTCAGTTCCAAAAGAGCCAATAATTCTGAAACTCAATCAGACAAAATGCATACAAAGGTACAAATCTCAAACTACCTCTATATCCACTATGTTAGTATGTTTATATAAATCTTCAGTGAATCACAGATTTACTTTTCCTTATTAAACTCTCCAACAATATATTACTCGGATTATCAGAGATTACTCCCTATGTGTCACATACTCCAAAAGTTTGCTTTTTTTTTCTAATGAGTCCAAATTTATGCATTTTTATGGGGATCCAAGCAATATAGCTCCAACAGAACGACAAATTACTAAAACTTGAATCTTTTCTCAGTTCAAAAAAGCTTTTATGATTAACTTGGAAATCTTCATTTTTCCCAATTTCTTCCCCAACAAAATAAGTCAACAATTTGTATATCCAGAACTATGTAACACTTCAGCAACAAACCACAACATCAACAACTACAATTCAGTCCCAGACAAGTTCGGATCGGCAAACAACAAAATCTAAATCAAAATTGACAGAAATTAGCCTGATTGACTTAACAGATTTCCAAGGCAAAGCACAATTGATTGGATCTGGATATAAATCGAACATGTGATAAAATAAAACCCGTAAAAATAAAAAAACCCTAAAAAAAAATAGCGCACAGCTATAACGACAATGTCAATTATGCAGAAAACTGATCAACAGAAGAAAACTAATATACAGACAACAAAACTGAACGGAAATAGAATAGAAAGAGTTCAGGTAATACTCACCGGCGGCGATTGAAGACGGAGAAGAGAGGAGGAGGTAAAAGAAAAGTAAAATTGTATTGTAATAATAAGAAATGAGTCTATGGTATAATATAATATAAATATATAAAAATATATATATATATATATATATATATATATATATATATATATATATTATCTCCGTCCCTTTTAAGTTGCAACGTTCTATTAGAGTAAAACAATTTAAAAGCTGGTCGAATTTGGCAATATTCAAAATAACTTATTTTAAGTTAAAAAAAAAATTATTTTAAGTCAAAAGTTAAAAGTTGGGCTAGGGGTGCTTTTTTTTCCAGCTTATAAGCTGTTTTAAGTTGATCACATTTTTATGTTTTTGCCCTTAATATTTTTATACAATCTTCAAATTACCCACATAATCCTAACATCTCTTTCTTCTATTTTTCCCTTTTCACGTGTGGATGATAGACAATTACTATTATTAATGAATGAAAATAAAATAAATCTTAAATCTTTCAAGTGATCTATTCAAATTATATATTATTACAATGTAAAATAAGTTGCACATATAACTTAAATAAAAAATTATATTCCTCTTATAAATAATTTGTGATAATAAAGAAATATGTGAATGAAAGACAATTATTATTATCTATGGATGAAACTAAAATAAAATCTTAAATCGTTCTTTAATCTATTCAAATTATATATCTTTAAAATCTATAATAAGTTTATATTCCTTTTATAAATAATTTGTGATGAGAAAAAAATATGTGAATGATAGCAAAATATAATTATTTATGAATGTAAAATATAAATTAATTAACTTTTATTATGTTAACAACTTTTAAGGGTATTTCAGACATTTTGATTTTAAAAAGTTGTTTATCAGCACTTATTTGCCAAACACATCAACAATTTTTTTTTACTTCAGCACACTTTTATCCAAACGCATAACTGCTTATTTTAAAAATAAGTTTCAGCACTTTCAAAATACTTTTTTAAAGCTGCTTTTATTAAGCTCATCCAAACGGGCCCTAAATATTTTTACTGTCTTTTTACTTTGAAAATTAGTCACATTAGATTTTGAAAAGCACACCATGACAATTAAAAGAACGGAGAGAGTATTTGGTTGGTTAGTTTTTCATTTCATATTTGGTAACTATATTGAAATTCGACTAAATCTGAATTATACACTATAACATTCATTTTGGGGTAATACTCGGCGTATCTAGAGGGGTTTTGTAGGTGCTCTGAAGTGAAACTGTAAAAAATATGTGTTAATAATGAGATTCAAACCTTGGTACAACAACACTAAAAGACTAAGTACCCATCCTAGAACCATTTGGCCAACTATACGATTTATTAATTGGGTGCTATATGTTAATTTTATACAAATACCTATCGATTTCTACATAGATATATATATTTCGTAACGAAATTAATGGGTGCTCAAGCACCTGGGGACACCATGTGGGTCCGCCCCTGATTACATATAGTAGTATTATATTTTTTTAAAAAAAAATACTTAAATATAAATATATGAACCACATTCAAAATGTCAAATATATAATATAAGTAATAATGACGATTGAATACACCTCTCTAAATGAGGATCGATCCAATCCCTTTATTAACTTTGAAAAAACACTAACAATTATTTTCATCGAAGTTATTTATCTACTAGAAAATAACTTAGAATGAACTTTTTATAAATTAAATAGAAATAAAGAGATAAATTTTGTTTTGATTATAGTTAAGATTTGTTTTTCCTCTTAAATAATTATTCATGTTTCTTTAATTTTAACATTTGGCTGTTATAGTTACCCATCGTTAATATACTGAACATTATCTTTTCCCTATCTTCTTCAATTGACTTTTTCTCTCTCGATACAATAAGTAAATGGAAGAAAAAACAAATGATAAATAAAGTAAGAAAGAAATAGTTTTTTTTGATTCTTTAGCTGAATTTTTCTTATTAATAATGGATATTTGATTTTTTTAAATAATAGTGAAAATGTCAATAGAAAATACGAAAAAAATAATAGAAAATACGAAAAAAAATGTTATGAATAGTTGTTACATAAAAGTATCATATCTTGTAGATGCTTAATTTTATGTGCATAGATGGTATAGATAATCAACAAGTTATAAGAAAATAAAAATAATTGATGAAACATCTATTAATAATATTGAGTTATCTAATATGTAGAATAAATATAAAAATTGAATGCTTTCACTTTCATGAAGAATGCATTTTTTTTCTTTATTTTTCCAAACAAAAGGTATTATATGTTATTAGGTGTATCAACATAATTTTATAAGGTCTTTCTTACAAAAATAATAATTAAGTTGTCACACTTGGTTAAGATAACGAAGAAAATTGATTTGCAAAAAAATAACTTTTTTGCTTCAATAGCAACATAATGAGAGAGAACCAATATGTATTGGTAAGCAAATAAATTGAGATGAGTTCGATTAATTGATTGACTCATATATGATAATTTGTTTTTTATTTTTTTAAAAAATTGAGTCCAACTCAATTTCAAAATTTAACTTTATTCTTTTCTATATAAATGAATTAAGATTTTATTTTAATATACAACTAACTCACGTATTTTATTTTGATATACAACTAACTCACATATTATAAATTATGTCTTATTTGTCATAGTATGATCAAACCCGACATCCATATACAATACTTAAATTTAAATACAATAAGCCTCCAAATATAATTCTAGAAGTGAATGTTACACAATTCAAAATTATTAAAATAAACTACAAAAAGTAGATAAAGAAAGAGAAATTAAATTATATTATGTAATACTTTTAATATTAAATTAAGAAATAATGCACAAGTATCCCTTCAATCTATGTTCGAAATCTTAAAAGATACATTTATATCATACTAAGGTCCTATTATCCCCTAAATTTATTTTATAAATAATTTTCTATCCTTTTTTAACATACACGACATTATCTTGTGGTCCCAACTTTTTTCTTCAAATGCTACGTAGACCGAAAAAATATAAAATTATTTATAAAATAAATTGAAGAGGTAATAGATACTTATATATTTTTACCTTAAATTAATATTTAAACATGATGAATTATATGTGAGCTAGTTCATATTACTAATTTTAAATCTGAATAAAAGTTCAATTTGTCGAGATCTACTAAAGAAAAATTTATCAAATTTTAAAATCATAAAAAAAATATAAACCATCTAAAAATTACAAAACTAAATAGAGAAGGAGAAATAAAATCCTAATAAAGAGATGCTGTTGTTTATGCTAACAAATTAATTAAAAATGGTTAATCAATATTAAATTGAAATAATGAAAAAAGATCTTTTAGGATGAATTAAAAATAATATGCTCATCTCATAAAGGTAGAGTTAATGATATTCACAGCTTATTGTTTTACAATTTTACTATATATTTATAATTATTTGAATTTACGATTTTACTATATATTTATAACTTATTTGAATTTGAAACAAATTATTTCATTTTTAATATGAGATGAAACTAATTAATTTTAAAACTAAATTATTTTATAATTTTACCTTTAAAAAACATAAAATAAACTCGTTCTAAAAATAAGCCCCAAACTAATTATCAATTTTTTACCAAAAAATCCTTATTATTGCGATGTAATTAAGGAGAAAATAAAAGAAATTAGATTTCTTTTTTTCCAAAAAAAGGAAAAAAATTTAGAAAAAGAAAAACCAAAATTACTTCTTATTAGATATATCTCCTCTTCGCCGCGGATTCTTTTATTCACAGTAGAGAGAGAAAGAGGAGAGAGAAAGAGCCATAACCGAGCCGTCACTGTGTGAACTCTGTGTGTTTTTTCTTCCTTCACAGCAAAAAAAATCAACTGAAATAGATCTGAAAATCGAAAATATTTAGTGGGTTTCTCTTATTTTTTCGATTTTTACAACTTTTTTCCCGATGACTAGCAGAGGAGGAGGAAAAAACAGTAACAATGGTGGAGGAATTGGAGTACAATCAATTCCACCAGGTTCAAGAAAGATGGTACAAAGTTTAAAGGAAATAGTTAATTGTCCTGAAGCTGAGATCTATGCTATGCTTAAAGAGTGTAATATGGACCCTAACGAAGCTGTTAACAGGCTTCTTACTCAAGGTGAATTTCAAAACTGTAAACTCTTATCTGTTTGGGTTCATTGTTGTGAATTGATTTCTGGGTCTTGAGGATTTTTTGGTATGAAAAATCAAAAATTCAAATTTTCTGGTTTTAGAGTTTAGAGTAGCTTAATGGAACTGTCAATTAGCTTCTTACTTGAGGCAACCCATTTGAATTTGAGCTCTTTTTTGGTTAATTAATGTTTGGGTTTTGGGGATTTTTTTGTGTGGAAAGTACAAATTTTCTGTTTTTAGAGTGTACAAGTAGCTTAATGAAACTGTCAATTAGCTTCTTGCTTGAGGTTTCTTTGAGTTTAAGCTATAAATCCTTGAGACAGACCTCTTTCTTTGTATTGGATTTCTGGGTTTTGAGGATTCTTTGGTTCTTTAGTGTTGTGGTTCTTACTCAAGGTGTCTTTAAGCTATAAACCTTTAACGCTCAACACTTTTTTGACAATTTTTTGTATGTAGTTTCTAATTGTTGAGGATTTTATTGTTCCAGTAGTTTTGTGTGCATGAAAAATATAAATTTTCTGTTTTTAGAGTTTAGAGTACACTAATGAAGCTGTCAATTGGTACTTGAGGTTCGTTTGAGTTTAAGCAATAAAACCTTGAAACTGAGCTCTTTTATTGTATTTGATTTCTGGGTTTTGAGGATTTTTTGGTTCTTTAGTGTTGTTGCTCTTACTCAAGTTGCCTTTTTAAGCTATAAACCTTTAAAGCTCAACACTTTTTTGGTAAAATTTTGTAATTGATTTCTGGGTATTGAGAATTTTATTGTTCTTGTAGTTTTCTGTGCATGAAAAATATAAATTTTCTATTTTTTAGAGTTTAGAGTATACTAATGAAGCTGTCAATTGGCTTCTTACTTAAGGTTTCTTTGAGTTTAAGCTATAAAGCTTGAAACTGAGCTCTTTTATCTTACTTGATTTCTGGGTTTTGAGGATTTTTTGGTTCTTTAGTGCTTAAGTTGCTCGGACTCTTCACTTTTGGTGCCACGCCCTTGTCGACATGAAGTAGGTGTGGGTGTTGGAACCGTACCTGATCTGGTCAATCAGTTTGGGGTACTTAGACCAAATTCAACGGAGAAATTTTGGACAGATTCAATGATTTCTGTGGCAAAAGAAAAACTAAGGTGAAATTGAAAAAAATGAAATACCTTGTACATATAAATTAGGTATTTATAAATTTTTGTCACTCTCTTTCCTTTTATCTCCTTCCAGGATTCTCCTCTTGATCAAGATTTTCTCCTAAGGTTCTCCACCTAATATCTCATAACTTAGGTTTTATAACTCTATTTTTAGTTATTTCAATTATTTTTAGCCGAACCCCCAACCCGTTATCCATACATGGACTTGTCACCGAATCTAAAAATTTCGATCACCCATATCTATACGTGGATCCATATCCCGAAATCAAAAAAATTAGATCATAGAGGATCTGACCTCTAGATCCGCACCCATATTGGACACCTGCACCCGAGTTCGTGCAACTTAGCTTTAGTGACGTGGTTCTTACTCAAGGTTCCTTTTTAAGCTATAAGCCTTTAAAGCTCAACACTTTTTTGGTACATTTTTGATTGATTTCTGGGTATTGAGAATTTATTGTTCCTTAGTTTTCTGTACATGGAAAATATAACTTTCCATTTTTAGAGTTTAGAGTACACTAATGGAGCTGTCAATTGGCTTCTTACTCTTGAGGTTTCTTGGAGTTTATTTAAGCTATAAAACCTTGAAACTGAGCTCATTTGCTTAATTGATTTCTGGGTTTTGGGGATTTTTTGGTTCTTTAGTGTTGTGTGCATGCTATTTTTCAGTTTTCAGATTATGTAACCATTGATTTTTTACTTAAGTTGCTTTTAAGCTATAAACCCTTAAAGCTCAACATATTTTTGGTAATTTTTTAATTAATTTCTGGGTATTAGGGATTTTTTTGTTCCTATAGTTTTGTGTGCATGAAAAATATAATTTCTATTTTTAGAGTTTAGAGTACCCTAATGAAGCCGTCTATTGGCTTCTTACTTGAGGTTCCATTGAGATTAAACCATAAACCCTTAAAGCTGAACTCTTTTTTGGAAAATTTTCATAATTAATTGATGGTATTAAGGTTTTTATGGGTTTTTAGTGTTGCATGCATGCTATTTTCAGTTTTCAGATTATACTGTCAATTGGCTTCTTACTCAAAGTCCCTCTGAGCTATAGAACCCTGAAACTGAACTCTTTTTTTTGTTCCTTTTCATAGTTAATTTCTGGGTATTAGATATTTTCATTCCTTGAGCCTAGGGTTCATTGGAAGCACCCTCTCTACCTTCACAAGGCAGGGGGGGTGGGTAAGGCTACATACTCACCACCCTCCTTAGACTCCACTTCTGGGATAACACTGGGTAGGTTGTTGTAGGTATTTTTTTTTCCTGTTGTTTTGGGGCCTGCAATTTTTCAGTTTCAGATTACAAAAGTACACTAATGAAGCCGGACATATGCTCTTATTCAATGTCCCTTTGAACTGTGACTCCTTAAAGCTGAATTCTTTTTTTTTTGGCATGATTAATCTTCTGGTACTTCAGTTTTGTGTGCGTGCATTTTTTCAGTTTTCAGATTATATTGCGAAGTAAGCTCTTTTCTTTTCCAGTTACCTCTATGTTGTTCTTGGTAAGAAGATAATAATGATTATGTCAGAAATCTATGAAACGAATACTCAGAGAGAGAGAGAGAGAGAGAGACCTAGCTAGGTATGGGTTGTAAGAGTAAATGGATAAAGGAAAGAAAAGAAAAGAACAGATTATCCCTTTTTATGCTTTGAAATTGCCATCTTTGTTTCTAACAATGGTGGTGTGTGGTCTCTGAGTTTAATGCACTATAAATTCAAGCTTTGTCTAAGCAAGAAGATTAATCTAATGGGTTGTGTATATGTGAAGTTTTTATATTTTAATGCTTTAACTTTTCAATGTTAATTAAGATAGGAACTGAACATTTTGAAAGAGATATAAGATGTTTTGATGGTATAACAACTCCTATTCATGTCCTTAAAACCAAGTGTTTACCAAATCTTTTTGCTGGTCAAACAAGACACATGCAACTAGTTGATGCTTTTGAATGAAATCATTTACTTCATAAAAACATAGGAACTAGATGTAGCTACTTGTGAGTCATTACGACTTTATACTCACCAGTCAGATGGGAAGTGGTGTGTTGATACTATTTGTAAATGCCATACCGATACGTGGAATGTTATTTAGAATTTACCTTGAGATGACATAGGCTGCCTTTGGAAACAAGGTTTAAGCAAGAATCAAGTGTTGGGCTCTGAAATAGCTTCAGTTTGATTCTGCTGCTGATTTGAGCACTATTATATAGCCTAAGCTGCATAAAAATTTGAATTTCTGTTGCGAATTATGTTCTCCCTATGCATTCACTGTTTTATACTGTGATAATTACTTGAAGTGGCATTTTTGTAGTTATCTTGCTAAAACCTAGTTATGTTTTGCCAATCTTCCCTGCTTGAAGAAGTTGATATTTTTTTACCACCTTCTAATTTGAAGTTTGTTAATTGACTAGATCCTTTTCATGAGGTGAAGAGCAAGAGAGAAAAGAGAAAAGAGGTTCGTCATAATTACTACAGCATAAATTCCAGAACCAATTTATTTCTAATCTTTTTGAGTATGCTTTCTATATTCTTGATGTTCCAAGTTTATTTTATTTGATTACATCGGTACAATCCCGAGGGCCCTGCATTACACACTCCACTTGATATGTAACTATGTTTCTTGACTTTCTTCAAAGCTTAGCTTGCTTATAACTGAGTCACTGACCTTAAAAAGGTGATTTAACTCAAATTGCTTACTTCTATTCATCTTTGGTTCAGATTAAGGATCCAACTGAATCTAGGTCCTGGATCACTAGTAGCACTCCGAGCCGTGGCAGTAGGGCTGGTGGGGATCGATATGTTGGGCGTGGTGGATCAGGTATATGCATTTAATGCACAATTTCTGAAAGAGAGATTAGGTTGAGTTGTGTAAGTCATGTTATCTGATACTGGAATGTTTTGATTTCTAACCAACTCTGACAGAGTCTACCAAGCCCGCTCCTGCTTACAGGAAGGAGAGTGGATCACAAACAAACAACTTCTCTTCTACCCCTCTAATTGCAGGAGGCAACACAGATAGGAGACCAACTGCCATCAGGTTAGTACTGTTGTCTTGTTAGAATGTTTTGGTTCTTTCACTAGACAATCAGTTGCTTTCAGATTCTGTCGGTGGTTACAGTGTAATAATCCTTCGGACCCTACTGCATGGTTCATTAAGTTTGTCAATGTCTCTATTCCACTAGAGAGAAGTTCTTATCATACTATAGCTGTAACTGAAAAACCAAATTTCGCGAGCAATAACTATCTGTGATTGCCGAATCAAATTACTAAGTTGAATATACTCATCAACAACAAAAAATGCATGCATGTTAAATTATTTGAGATTGCATGTATTCGTATGTGCAAAGCGAGCATGCTATTGGAGATGTTTGACTTGTTTTTAAATTCTCTTTTATGCTTGAATGGTGTTGCAGTGATGCTGCAGGAAATGACAGTAAAAGATTGGCACCAGCTGCAGTTGATGGTCATTCAGCTGCTTCACAGCCTTCTTCTGGATATCAACCTACTTGGGGCGGGGTGCCAGGCCAAGTATCAATGGCTGATATTGTGAAGATGGGTAGGCCACAGAGTAAAGTGCCTAGTGTACCCAATATATCTGACAGTACTGCTGGTGTCAACCAAAACCATGATCAGGCACCACCTCCTTATGGCGCATCACATGGTAATATGCAGTTTTCTGATGATCAGTCGACGGTTCCTGAGGTACATCAGGAACCAAGGGATAATTCATCTCAGAATCTTTCTGCAAATGATGAATGGCCTTCAATTGAGCAGCCATCAGCTGCTAGCCAACCTGCTGTCTCGGAGCCTCCCACTAATTCTGTGCCCCATCCTGATCCGTCTAACATGTCTTTTGACAGAGTTGATCATCAAACTCAGATAGATGAGTCTCAAGAGGCAGATGAAAGTGCTAATGAAAATCTTGATTGTTCCCTTTCCAGTAGAAAGTTGCAGGAGGATAATGCTGATGGTACTTCTCTGTATGACAATGACCCGTACAGATATCAGCACCAGAATCACACTTTTGACCATCCACAAGGTGAATATGTGTGGAAGTCTTAAATTGGCATGCAATATGCATTTCATTGGATATATTTATCTTTGTTTTAGTTTAACAAAGGTGGTATTGGTTGGCGTTTTAGGATTGAGGCTCTGGAATTAATTTGGTGCATCTTTAGTTTCTTTTAACTCAATTCTCTCTGTTGTATCTCCCTCTACCTTATTATTTCATTATGGCATGTTAGGAGTAGATCTTGACTTTTTTGTTTTAAGAATGCAGTTGTGTGACATCCTGGGATCATCACATCTATTTTATGGCTGATTCTCCCTCTATCTGATCTTATCATTAGATTTCAGCCTTTTAATTTGCAGAAATTGAAGATGGATTAAGTAGGAAGCGATGAAATGTTAAATCTTAACTGTGTCAATCTTAGTGTACTAGCATCTGTATCTCATCCTTACTTCGTGTCATTTGGTTCATATGTCTACTTCCAATGGATATTTAGCATATCAGAAACCTAAATGTTTCGGATTACTGTTTCCTTCTAAACTTCTTCAGCTTTTGTTTGTTTCGACACAATGTTCCTGCCAAATTGGCAAATTGCATGATTATCTTTGTGAGTAGATGTGGCTCCTGTCTCCTCTAAACAAACATTTGCAGTCTCCTGCCTTCCTCCTTCTCTTTAGTGCTTCCTTTTTCCTCTTCATATAAATAAATTCCATCTTCCAACCTACATATCCCAATTCCAGCATTGCTACAACTTTATAGGGTGTTTTGTCATGCGTGGCTGAGCTGCTTAGGATGCATTTCATCCTGCATCTTTTGTCTTTCGTTCTTAATGAAAAAGGCGCCGGATCTGAAGGAATGAATATTTGAAATTGAGAGTAGCTGTGTCTACTTAGATTTATCAAGAAAAGTAGCTATCTCTTGTAAGCTGTTGCAATTAGCACTTCTTAAGTAAATATTTATTCTTGGTTCAACTGTAGTTTTGCTTTTCAAAATCTTAAAGTACTACCCTCTCGTTTATATAAGAATGTTATCTTATCTTGTGGCAGTTGAAGATGTTAATGTCTCAGTTTCATCAGTTGCCGCGAACTTGCAACAACTAAGTGTAAAGGATGCAGCGGGTTTGCCATCTGATGGGGATAGTCCATCTGTTGTGATTCCAGACCATCTTCAAGTTCAAACAGCTGACTGCTCACACCTAAGTTTTGGTAGCTTTGGTGGTGTGTCCTTCTCTGGATCACTGGCCTCTGCCCCCGTGAAAACTAGCTTGGAAGATGCATCCAGAGATGCAGATAGTTCTTCAGTTGGGCACTTGGGCACCAGGTTTACCTTCTTTTTAGTTGATCATTTCCTTTTAGTCTTCTGAGTTACTAAATTAATTATTTGCATATAATATACTGTGGAAGTTGTGTGTTTATGATATGCTAATTGAGAACTCTAGCCAACTCTTTCTGTACGTGGACAATGATATTAAAAAGTTCTTCAATCATTTATTTTGTCGTGTAGGATTGTCTTCTTTATCGGTTGCTTGTAGATTTTTCTCATTTTATAAATAAATGACATCAATCGAGTATCCTTGCATCAATCCTGTCTTGTTTTACTTATTGGGTTTTCAAGAATTGTTCCATATTTTAGTCAACCAAATAGTAATATTAGCTTGCAGCTCTTTTCCATTTATGAAATCTTTGTTTGATGCACTTAAATGATTTTATGATGTAGTATACAATGCTCTCTTTGTCATTATGTAAAGCTTGTATGCCAATAAATTTTTTTGAAGGAGAGGTCTTGTATGCAAAGCAACAGGGGGAAATGCTAGTCTTTAATTGTAAACTTACATATTTTACAGGGCCACTGAATACTATGGTGATGGTACTCTCAGAAATGAGGCTGATAGTAATTTATTCCACAGAAATAATGCAAATGCTGGAAATTATGAACTGCCAGCAGCTTCACAACCAGAATCTCTGAAAGCAGAAGCTAGTGATGGGCATTATTCATATCCGTCCTCTGCTGCTGGCTATTCATACGAAAGTGCTCAACAATTGAATGCAGCGTTTAGTCAGCCACAGACGAGTTCTCATATGCAAAATCTTGCTTCTTTCTCAAATGAGACAGTAAGAATTTTTTCTGCCTTTTGTTCAGGATATCAAATGGTTTCATGTACTATCCTTGGGATGCACTTTCTGTTAGTTTTGACCAAATGTTAGAACTTCGATAAAATTATGTTTTCCCAAGTTTGAAGATGACTTCAGTGCAAGTGTATGCTATGCATGAGACAAGGAAATGCTGCAGCAGGAGTTGCAGTGCTGGTAATTGCTATTCTGTTCTGGGTTGTTTGGGATGGGGGATGGGCTGGCAAAGTTATCCCATGGGATAGTTATCCCACCATATATATGGGATAATTTATCCCATCATTATAGTAGCAATGGTGGGATAAATACTCCCGGGACTAACCAATATCCCTAACCAAACACAATATAAAATAATCCTGCATTTTGTCCCGGGATTATTATTCCTTTTCTCTCATACCAAATGACCCCTTAATTTTGAGTTATATGAGTGATGTCGAGACACGGGATGGCTGCAGTGCGAGTTGCAGACTTCGTAATTGCTATTTTGTATATTTGAGTGATGAGTGGCATTTAATATGGAGCTTAGTTGGCTTTATATTCTGCCACTATCTGATTGTGTAGGCTTTCTTTTCGATTGGAGGGATGGATATACAAGGAAAGGTTTGGCATGACTTATTTTGGTTAGGTGTTCAATTGTGCTTGAGAGCTCTGTTATATATTCCACATTAGAAGAAAAAACAGAACTTTTTTAAGTCATAGGCAATACTTCTCTTTTACCCGGCTTACTTCTTTTGAACTTTAGCTTTGTAATTAAATAATATTCAAGAACTTTAGCTTTTGAGGAAAAGAGTCCTTTAGTCCTTGCAAGTCTTCTTTACTGCGTAGGCGCTCTCATTTCTTTGGTTCCTTTACTAATGGGTAACAGCTTGTCATAACAGTGGTTGATACTGTTTAATCTGTATTTGAAGTGCTCAACACAATATGCTGGTTGCAAGCTTGTAACTAATAAGATATGCGTGTAATATAGTTTAGCCACTCGACATGGCATGTTTTGCTATTTTCACAAATTGGCTAGTCTTTTAATAATAAAAAGAACTTTCGAATAGGTTGTGAAACAAATAAGAGGTTCCTTATGTTGGTGTGTAGGCTACTTGAAATAGCTTATGGAAATTTTCCTAATTACTGGATTCCTTATAATAACATGGTATTTTTTCATATATTGGAAACATATCTAGTTTTCCATTTTAAAAAACTATGTTACAGCCTAGAAACATTCTAAACATATAATAGTGTTAATTCACTTGACCCTCATTTATTATGAGTCCAGCGTAGCTAAACTATTTGCGAACTTTGTATAGAAAAGTAAGTGCCTGCTTGGTGCTCTATGTTGAATAATATTTCATCCAATAATAAACTTCTAATTAGCTAAACATATGTAATGCCCAAAAGCAAAGAAGCATGACAAAAGAAGGGCAGCCCGGTGTACAAAACATCACACGTTGGAAGGGACGCTTCTCAATGCGTGTGATGTAGACAACCTACCCTAATGCAAGCATTAGTGGTTGCTTCCACTTCTCAAACCCGTGTGACCTATAGGTCACATGGAGACAACTTCAATAAAGAAGCATGTCACTTGTCAATTTTTTTTATTAAAAAACTACAGTAGCATGCCAACATGATCCGAGTTACCATTATTTGCTAGAGCATAATATCCATGTTTTACCTAATTTGCTCTCTTGCTATTTTTTGTTCGAGTAGGTCTACACAAATTCTTTGCAGAGTGACATGTTGACTGCTAACGTGCATCCTGGTCGAGAGTCTGAGCTTTCATATTCTCCTTTTTCTACAACACAAGCAATGCCCACAAAATATGGCAACTCAATTTCATCAATCAGTGGTTCAGCTATGCCTGAGGTAATGTTTCTGCTGGAATCTAATCAAATATTGCAGATATCTTTCTATCCTACCCTCAGCTGTAGTGTTGGTACCTTTACCCGCAGACATATTGACCTTAACTAGGACTGTTTTATAATGAATTGAGGGAAAAATTGACCATTTTGATTTTTAGTAAAAATATACAAGTGATTATGCTTGATTTCCAGGCAGGTAAGATGAGTTTGAACAGTAAGGGTCTAGCGAAAAGCTGGTTGTATTGTTTTTCTCCTGATGAAGTAAATTGTTCATGAACGAGAAGATGACTACTGTTTAACATTAGTAAAGTTATGAGTCTTGAGGCTTTGAGCCCCCATCCCCCCCCCCCCCCCCCAACCGTATTTTTTCAATTAACTAGAATGTATCAACAAAAGGACGGAATATTTATGAAGTTATAAAATTAACATAATAAAATAAATGAAGTAATGAAATGAATTATTGGGATTTATTATCTCTTGAAGTCCCAATATACATTCTGTATTTTGAAATTCCCCTCTAATGCATGTCAATATCCATTCTTGAACAAATTCGTATCCGCACAAACACCCTCTTTCCAACTCTCCCTGAAAGAGTTATTGGTCATGGCTTTTCTTAGAGTATTTTGAATGCTAAATTCGGGGCAATCAAGTATAACTGGTGGAGGAGAGAGGTGCAGTGTTATATAGTAAAACGAGGTTGGATTTGGTTTTTAACATTTTCGCAAGTATTAAGTCAGGTTCTCAGAAGTACACTTTTGTTTTCTGAAGGAAGCTTTTCGTTTGGATTGTTCTGATCGTCCCAAAAAAATAAAGTTATAGGTTTAAGCATTTAAAAGGTTCAGTATTTTCTACAAATATTGATCATAGTTCAGATACATCTTAAATGTGGTTCCTCTAAGTGATGTGTTGCTTTAGTTTGATCGGTGATTCATATTCTGGCCAGTGTGTTGTCTATCACAACTCTGTATAATATGAATTGGTGACTTGAGACGGGGAAAGCATTATACATCCTATTTTTCCCCTTTCAAAGTTGGTGCGATATTTTTCTCCCTTCTCTTGTTTTTGTGGTGTGTAATGGTTGACTGTGTCCTCTTCTATCTTTTGTGTAATGCACTCAAGTGCTCATATCTGTATCTCCCCCTTTTCCAACTGTTTGGAATGCCTTGTTTAAGCTGAGGGTCTATCGGAAACAACCTCTCTATCTCTACTAGTTGTACAAGATAGGGGTAAGGTCTGCGTACCCTCTATCCTTCCCAGACCCCACTTGTGGGATTGCATTGAGTATGTTGTCGTTGTAATAATTGACAGTGTTAGTGTTTCCTGCAGGCTATGAAGACAGTTGGCTTTTCATCAGCACAGCCTACTCAGCAGATGCTTTCTGGAAATAGTGTCGCCACAGGACCTGGCGTACCACAACACCTAACTGTACACCAATATTCTCAACAAGCTGTTCCTATTGCCCCATATGGCAACATGATTAGTTATCCCTTTGTGCCTCAGAACTATTCATATATTCCATCTGCATTCCAACAAGCATATCCTGGTAATAGCAGTTACCATCAGTCGCTTGCAGCAATGCTCCCCCAATATAAGAATACCGTTTCTGCCAGCAGCTTGCCTCAATCTGCCACTATTCCTTCTGGATATGGTGCTTTTGGAAATACAACAAGTATCCCCGGGAACTTCCCAATCAACCCCCCTGCTGCTCCATCTGGTACTAACTTAAGTTACGATGATGTATTAAGTGCTCAGTTCAAGGATACCAATCATTTGATGTCTCTTCAGCAGGTATCCTTTTCTTTTTGTGAGCACACATATTCCTACTGAACTCTCTCTCCAAGAAATTGCTTGTCATGACTCATCATAATGTGAAATGACCGTTTGAATAGCTACTGTCAGGGCGTCAGGGGTAGCAAAATCAGCCCAAGTGAACATGATCCCCTCAACCCGTTCTACATTTATTAGTTCAGCCCATTTTAGTCCCACCCGTTTCAGCCAATCTACGAATTGAAATTGACCGATAGAAACTGTCATAATATTTTCAAAAATACATTTTTTTGTTGGTTATGTTATATAAAACCATTCACTTTTAATTCCATTTCAGCGCAAGTGGTTTTTGGGCAGGTCATGATCCACTTTTTAGTCTATTCCCCCCATTTGACGCCTCTAGCTTCTGTGTTTGTTTGGTCAATTGCATTTGTCAATGTCCACCTTGGTGGTTGGCGCAGCATGTCTGAAATGCTCTGTAATTTCAATTTGTCATTGACTTTATCTGGCATGTCCTTTGCTTTATTTGACACTCCTGTTTCCGTCCTCTTTCAGAATGAGAACTCAGCTTTGTGGCTTCATGGACATGGTTCAAGAACAATGCCAACTGTTCCCGCCAACACGTATTATGGCTTTCAGGGACAGAATCAGCAAACGGGCGGATTTAGGCAAGGCCAACAGCCATCACAGAGCTATGGATCTTTGGGGGGCTACCCACATTTCTACAATTCTCAGGCTGGTATCTCGTTGGACCAACAACAGCAAGAAAACCTTCGAGATGGATCGTTGTCTGGTTCACAAGGCCAGCCAAAGCAGTCTCAACAACAGTTATGGCAAAACGGCTACTAAATCTTACTGCCTCCCTTGTTTTTCTGTTCTTTCTTTTTTTGGGGTCTTGTAATGAGTGTGAAAGTGGCCTTTCCAGCTCTCTCTGTTGAAATAACCCTCGTTCACGATCCCTGAAGAAACTTGACTGGGTGCTGCCCTGTGCCATGACTCTGTACTTTACGTGTTTATCTCAGATTTAAATGTAACGTAGGTAATGTCTGAGTTAACACAGTGCTCTAGTCGTCTCGTCTGTGTTTTTTCTTTTAGCTCTTGTTTAACACGGTTAACCCCCCTTTTCGTCGTTTTTAATCTATAGTTGCTAGTGTTTTTTTCCCAATAGTAATCTATTGCATTATAATCCCACTTTTCTACTTTCATGTCTAGTCTCCATAACATAAATGTTTTGAAATATTGGTTAGTTCAATGTGGTTATACTAATTTTGTGCATATACTACTTACCAAATTTGTTAATAACAGTAACGTCTTTCACTTCTTCGCTACAGGTTTATCTGAACTGATTACAAAGTAGATATATCTTTAAAATTTATATGGACCATGAGTATTAGTGTTAAAGAACTTACTGATCGAACATTTTAAATTTTGAATTCGTCTCGTTAGAAGTTATAAGTTTTTTAAGGGAAAAACAACTTGATATACCTGTCATCATAGGTTGAATTCTACTTATGATGCGTTCTTATATCGATGTATATAACTTTTAAGATGAAAAATTGTAAATATGATATTAAAAATTGCTTGTGCAAGATGAAAAGATTCATTAATTAATCCAAACCAATTTACAATAATCTTGTACTGAACCCATAACCCAGAATGCTTTAAAAAACTGACCCCTTCTACAGATTCATCTCTCACAAAGCTAAAAACTCATAATCTCACACTAATTGGAGAAGAGTTTGTTGCACTCACTTTCCGGGAACAAAGTTTGTGGCAAAAGCCCAGGCGTTGTTGTTAACTGGGTCAGCAATGTGGTCGGCAAGGTTCTCCAACGGACCCTTTCCGGTGACAATAGCTTGAACAAAGAATCCAAACATGGAGAACATAGCAAGTCTACCATTCTTGATCTCCTTCACCTTGAGCTCAGCAAAAGCCTCTGGGTCTTCAGCAAGGCCCAATGGGTCAAAGCTACCACCAGGGTAAAGTGGATCAACAACCTCACCAAGAGGCCCACCAGCAATACGGTAACCCTCAACGGCTCCCATCAACACAACTTGGCAAGCCCAAATAGCCAAAATGCTTTGTGCATGAACCAAACTAGGGTTTCCCAAGTAGTCAAGTCCGCCCTCGCTGAAAATTTGAGATCCAGCTTTGAACCATACAGCTTCACCAAACTTAACACCGTTACGTGCCAAAAGCTCGGGGAAAACACATCCAAGAGCACCAAGCATGGCCCATCTGCAATGAATAACCTCCAACTCACGGTTCTTAGCGAATGTTTCAGGGTCAGCTGAAAGCCCAGCAGTGTCCCATCCGTAATCACCAGGGAACTCACCAGTCAAATAGCTTGGTGATTCACCAGAGAATGGGCCCAAGTACTTAACACGGTCAGGACCATACCATGGGCTACCAGAGGAAGCTGGCTTGGGCTTGGCAGCAGTCTTCCTCATTGTAATTCTCCCATTTCCACTGATTTCAGAAGAAGATGGTGCGAGTTTCACCGTCTTTCCGGCGAAGGTAGAGGAGGAAAGAGCCATTGTAGAAGCAGCCATGGTTTAATTTTAATAAATAAAAAGAAATGAATTGTGTTTTGATGGTTGTTGTTATGTTTCAATTTTGTGATTAATAACACTATTTATAAGAGGGAATATGGTTGGTTCTTATCTTATCATATCTCTATCTACAATTTCATTGGTTTTCAAGATTTTATTAGGCACTTGGCATTTTATAACCCATCAATATTTTCAAGATATTTTTACTAATGGGGTCCAACAAATATGTGGCTATGAATATTGCAAACTTGTCCTCTATGCTGTCAAGTAAGATTCTTTAGTCTAGATATTTTTCATCCAAAAGTATTTCTCTAAGAACTGAACAATTAATGCAAGAAAAGTAAAACTTATAAATTTTCCAAAGCTAACCAGATGAAAAGGGGTTGAATATGGTGTGGTTAAAGTAATTAAAAGTAACTTTTTCGTGATATATAAATTGTTGAACTCTAGAAAATGTGAAGTTATAAATTCAAAAATCGGTACCAGTTTATGTGTTACATTCTAGTATTGCATTTTCTTTTCTTTGTATAATTTTGTCTCGGGTCGGAGAGGGTTTATTCAAGCTCTATCTTTGTTGATTTTTTTATGGACATATTACATATACTTAAATATGACTTGAACTTCTCTATGAGTTTTTCATGAAAATGAAGGATGCAAAATATTAACCAATCTTTTTTAATTTAATTCATTAAGAACCTTACTAATTTGAAATGAGATATAATAATCAAGAAATTTCCTTTAGTTAAATGCAGCTTCATGAAGAACCTATACATATGTATTATAAATTGAAATATCATTGTCAATTTGCCACTCATACAAATTAGTGGTCCTATTTTACACACAAGTGTCTGAACTATTGCATGGCCATGAGTTATTTTTATGTTTTTGGTCAAGTGGATATTATATTATGCTTTTGTAGCATGTAAACTTAAACTACAAATTCCATATTATTCTAAAAATGTTTACTTGTAAATATCTTTAAATGACCTTATTGTATAAAAAATTCTTTATAATAGTAACAATATATACAACTTAATTTCTTAAAATGATTTGATTATTAACAATATAAGAGTACACTTAGAATAGAGGTTTTTAATATGCATAAAATGATAAAATTTTCTAACTGTTCAGTGTTCGATATTCCAAGAAAAATAATAGTGAAACAACTATTAAACAGCTATCATATAATATGTACAAAAGTGTATATTTTATACCAAATATACATATATTACAATTATACTATGCATAACATATACTCTATACGTAGATGTATATTTCATTCATGTTGCTAAATTAGCAGAATAGTACATATCCATAATGTTTCGCACAATATTCTTGTATAAACAACAATATACTCCGTGAAATTTCACTATTCTATCCGCTTAGTATATGGCTTTATAGTATACTAAAGTTTCCTCTTAATTTAACTCCATGAAAGAAAACAATTACAAAACGTTTAGTTTTCTTATTATTCTCATGTTTTTCAAATTGACTATTAGAGTATTGATCGTCCTAACATTTATGATACTCACAAGCATAACTTTAGTAACATTATATTGTTCATAAGTTCTGTCGAATTAGTGACAAAATAATTTATACGTATCGTTTAATTGTTTTTTACCATCTTTTTTTAAATTATTACCTCTAGTATCTCACACAAAAATTAAATCATATTCAATTTTTTTTTCTTTCTTATTTTGTCTCATTGTCAATTTGCCACACATAAAAGTGGTCCTATTTCATATGTCAGCCAAATAAATTTAATTGCAATAATCAACAATCATACGTGGCGACTATTGATTGGATGTAAGAGAGAAAATCTTCATTGGGTTAGATTTTTTAACAAGTATCTAGTGATGTTTAATCCCACCAATGAAAAAAGAGATATAGATATTCATGGATAAGGGTATTGGGCTTGTGGAGTCATTTATATACACTTCGGTGACTCAAGCCTCAAATCATCTCTTCTTTTTTTGTACATTCTAAGAGTTCATAATGGCTGCTTCTACTATGGCTCTTTCCTCCTCTACTTTCGCCGGTAAGGCGGTGAAACTCTCACCATCTTCTTCTGAAATCAGTGGAAATGGGAGAATTACAATGAGGAAGACTGCTGCCAAGCCCAAGCCTGCCTCCTCTGGTAGCCCATGGTACGGTCCTGACCGTGTTAAGTACTTGGGCCCATTCTCTGGTGAATCACCAAGCTATTTGACTGGTGAGTTCCCTGGTGATTACGGATGGGACACTGCTGGGCTTTCAGCTGACCCTGAAACATTCGCTAAGAACCGTGAGTTGGAGGTTATTCATTGCAGATGGGCCATGCTTGGTGCTCTTGGATGTGTTTTCCCCGAGCTTTTGGCACGTAACGGTGTTAAGTTTGGTGAAGCTGTATGGTTCAAAGCTGGATCTCAAATTTTCAGCGAGGGCGGACTTGACTACTTGGGAAACCCTAGTTTGGTTCATGCACAAAGCATTTTGGCTATTTGGGCTTGCCAAGTTGTGTTGATGGGAGCCGTTGAGGGTTACCGTATTGCTGGTGGGCCTCTTGGTGAGGTTGTTGATCCACTTTACCCTGGTGGTAGCTTTGACCCATTGGGCCTTGCTGAAGACCCAGAGGCTTTTGCTGAGCTCAAAGTGAAGGAGATCAAGAACGGCAGACTTGCTATGTTCTCCATGTTTGGATTCTTTGTTCAAGCTATTGTCACTGGAAAGGGTCCATTGGAGAATCTTGCCGACCACATTGCTGACCCAGTTAACAACAACGCCTGGGCCTTTGCCACAAACTTTGTTCCCGGAAAGTGAAGTTTTTGAGAGAAAAAAATGTTACGTCTAGTATCTTATTGTTTGATGACAATCATGTAAACCTAGCAATTGTAAATTACTAGAGATTATATATGAAGTTTTTTGCTAAAACCTAGTGTTTGTTGATTAAATCTAAATCATTAATATTAATATATAGTAACAAGTGGAAAAATGGGAAAAGAGAAAATGAAAGATTAATTTCTTTATGTCATTTATAATGACTTAACAGTTAAATAATGTATCCATTCTTACTTGGTAGTGATAAATTTCGCAATTATATATGGTTATAGTAATCTATAATGAATCCACCTTCTACGCCAAACTCAATTCAATAAAATTTCTCCATTCGATAGGTGTTAGAAAATGGTAAATGTCGTCTTCCTTTCTTCTTCACAATACGTAATTCTAGCGGACGATTTACCTAGTAATCAACATTTTAGAAACTTATTTATTCTATTAGCTATTGATTATGGGTCTTATTAATGTAATATAATATAAGAAAATAACTGTCTACACTACACGCCCAAAGTGGACCTAAACGATGAACTATTCTCTTTGGCAATAATCAATCAAAGTCAAAATAAACATACAATGTGATTTGAACCGCACACTCACTTCACGTCTTCTGAGTACGACAATGACTTTATCTTTCTGATTCATATCGAGTTGCCCAAAAGTTGTTCTGTTTTAAGGTTGTTTGAGAATATTTACAAGTTCTTTCGAATTAACAAAACTCGCATATGTTATTCGACTGTACACAATTTTTTTTGAACCGATAACATTTTGTACTATTTTCATTCTACCTATCTTCATTAACTCAAAAACAATTCGTATTTCACTTCAAATGTATAAAAAAAAGAAGAGATTATTGTAAATTGTCTATTTACAACTCACACAAGTGGTCCTATTTCATATGCCAGCCAAATAAACAGTTGTTTGTGAACAATGCATGGCCATGAGCAACTCTTATGCTATGGTCAAGTGGATATTATATTGCAATAATCTATAATCACACGTGGCAAACAAGGATTGGCTGCATAAGAGGAAATCAACATTTGAGTTAGATTTTTTAAAAAATTGTCATTCACCAATGAAAAAGCAGATAATGATATTCTAAGATAAGGATTTTGGGCCTGTTGAGTAATTTATATACAGTTAGTGCAAAGCTCATGAAACTCAAGCTTCAAAACAACTTTTCTTTTTGTACATTCAAGAGTTTCTCATTCTACTTCTATAATGGCTACTTCTACCATGGCTCTTTCTTCCTCTACATTTGCCGGAAAGGCGGTTAAACTCTCCCCATCTTCTTCTGAAATCACCGGAAATGGGAGAGTCACCATGAGGAAAACTGCTACCAAGGCCAAGCCAGCCTCCTCTGGTAGCCCATGGTATGGTCCTGACCGTGTTAAGTACTTGGGACCATTCTCTGGGGAATCCCCAAGCTACTTGACCGGTGAGTTTCCTGGTGATTACGGATGGGACACTGCTGGACTTTCAGCTGACCCTGAAACATTCGCTAAGAACCGTGAGTTGGAGGTTATTCATTGTAGATGGGCCATGCTTGGTGCTCTTGGATGTGTATTCCCCGAGCTTTTGGCCCGTAATGGTGTTAAGTTCGGTGAAGCTGTATGGTTCAAGGCTGGATCACAAATTTTCAGCGAGGGTGGACTTGACTACTTGGGAAACCCAAGCTTGGTCCATGCACAAAGCATTTTGGCTATCTGGGCTTGCCAAGTTGTGTTGATGGGAGCCGTTGAGGGTTACCGTATTGCTGGTGGGCCTCTTGGTGAGGTTGTTGACCCACTCTACCCTGGTGGTAGCTTTGACCCACTGGGCCTTGCTGATGACCCAGAGGCTTTTGCTGAGCTCAAGGTAAAAGAGATCAAGAATGGTAGACTTGCTATGTTCTCCATGTTCGGATTCTTTGTTCAAGCTATCGTCACCGGAAAGGGTCCATTGGAGAACCTTGCTGACCATCTCGCTGATCCAGTCAATAACAATGCTTGGGCCTTCGCCACAAACTTTGTCCCCGGAAAGTGAAGTTTTTAAAAAATTAGTTGTTTGCTAATTGTAAATTACAAGAACATAATAATATATATGAGTATTGTTATTGGATGCATTAAAGAGCTGTTTGCAAGAGATTATTCATCTATAAATGTGTTGTTATCCATAAATAGCAACGCATTGAATCACCCAATCAATAAACTGTAATATGTTCACATAATTTACTATACACCAAACATCAAAGAGCTGATTAACATTTATGGGAATCCAACATAAATAACCCTGATTTTCATTCGAGTACCTCGCACAAAACAACTTGTGAATCAAGCATCAACTGCATTCTTTGAATGGTCACTCAAGTTTGTAGCCGTAATTGCACCGTCAAGCATCCTGCAATCGAACAGATGGACGATGGAAAAATGGTTTCCTATCTTCCTGTAGTAAAGTCAAATATGTTTTAACACTACATCTCAATTCAGAAATATGCAAGACTACCCGTTAATCTTTAAGCATGTAGCACATGCATCAACAGAAAAAGAGAAGGCCAAAGATATACATAGATTGGCCAAAATAGCAACTAATCACTCCAATTTTGAGAATGCACATCTACACACTTCAACTCTTCCTCATCGTGTCTCGTGAACACTTCGATATTTTTTAAGAGTCTGATCAACATACGTCCCTCAGGTAAGAACAAACAGAGAAGGACCACTTCCAATGATTCGTGGATTATTCACTAAAATTTGGGTAAGGAGGGAAAGTAAAAGTTGTATCCAAAACGAATAACTATGAAAAATCATCTGTCCAAGAGTACCTGTTAATCTTCAAGCATATTGCATAGGCATCAACAGAAAAAGAGAAGGCCAATATACTTGACATAAGGATATATTGATGCATTAACTTAGCCTAAACTGACACCTAAACATTTTAACTTCAAGAATGCACATCTAGACACCTCAATCATCCTCACTATATCGTAGAGATCCAAAGTCGTGACACCTAAATATTCAATACCAATAGATCTGTTCTTATAACCTATCTAATCAATGTTTCCCCACAGATGTTCAGTGTGTGTCGAATCCTCTTTTTGAAGAGTCCGAGCACATAGTACACCCTAAGGTAAGAACAACAGAGCAGGACCACAACCACTGATTTGTGGGATCATTCACTAAAATTTGGGTAAGGACGAAAAGTAAAAGTTGTATCTTGCAATGGAGCAGCTTACTCCTGACATGGATCATGGAATTGAATTTATACAAAAAAATGATTTTTCAAGTTTCTTAATCGAAATAAACTATCACTAACTATTTATCGAAACACAACTCATCTATTAATTGTTCAGAAACTCTTTTTAGATTTTGCCCTAATGTTTGATTAATTTTTACGAATTAGGGCGATATCGCACACCAATCTCTCTATATATACTTTTATATTTCTCGGCATTGATATAAAAATATAATTTTACTTATAATAATTTTAACGAAATATCTGGACCATTAAGAATAAAATGTTGTTAATAATATCAATTAATAAATAAAAATTGAGGGTAAATTTTAAATTAAGTAGTTAAGAATTATTTCAATCCACTGTACATTCCAGAATTTAAATTAAGGAGATTCGAAATAAAATGTAATTTTCTCATTAATATCCTTTAATAAATAAAAAATTGAGGATAAATTTTGAAATTAACTAGTTAGGAATTATTTTAGTCCACTACTTCATATGCACATGGTGATGGATTCAGGATTTAAATTAAGGGGATTAGAAGGAAAAAAAAAAGAATAGTACTTAAGATTTGAACTTGGAATAATGTAAGTTTTGAACCCGACATCCATCAAATCAACCTTTAATCTTACATTTAAAAGCTTCAAAATCATTATATAAATATAAAAAATCTTTGAAATACCTTAAATTTACAACATTATTTTTTGCCGAGAGGGTTGGATTTTCATCTAGTCATATATAGTGGTGTTGAACTTAGCCAAATGGACATGAATCAAGTTCAAGAAAATATATCACCCACCAATCAAAAACCAGATAATGATATTGTAGGATAAGGACTTTGGTCTTTCCTAAGTCCTTTTATATGCACTTGACGAGACAAGGTTCATGAAACTCAAACAAACAAACAAAATCAACTCTCCTTCTTGTGTAGTAGCACCATTCAAGAGTTTTTCTTCTTGCTGATGACCCAGAAGCTTTTGATGAGCTCAAGGTAAAAGAGATCAAGAATGGTAGACTTGCTATGTTCTCCATGTTTGGCTTCTTTGTTCAAGCTATTGTCACCGGAAAGGGTCCATTGGAGAACCTAGCCGATCCAGTTAACAACAACGTCTGGGCCTTTGCCACAAACTTTGTTCCCGGAAAGTGAAGTTGTTAAAAAGAGTCTCTTGTATTTTAGTGCAATTGTATTATGCGCAATTGTATATTTCGCTGTAATATTTGTATAAAATTTGCTTTGCATACAATTGAATCGAAGTAAAATGTATGTATATTGTATAATTATAAGTGTATAGGAAGAAGATATATGTTTTTCTCTCGCTTTATACAAAAATAGAAACACATTTTATACACTTCAGTTGTATAAAGCGAGAGAAAATTGTTTTTCACTGCAATTGTATAATTCGTTGGCCTTTTTCGCTGCAATATTTGTATAAAATTTGCATTTGTCTACAATTGAATTGAATTAAAATGTTTGTAAATTGTATACTTAAGTGTATAGCACGAGGATATATGTTTTTGCATGTCTATACACAATTTATACACTTCTGTGTATAAAGCGCGAGTGGCGAGCAAAGGGAGAGTGGCGAGCGAGATTTTTGGGAGAGAGGCGACTGACAAACTTTGGTTAGCGTTTGCTATGGAGCACAATTAAATCAAATCATAGCTACTCCATTTATTTCAGATTATTAATTTGCTATTATATACGATTATCCCAAAAATATATATAATCATAATATTTGGGCCAGTCGGGTTGATGCATTTGGGTCTTTTTTCAAACTAAAGACCCAACTTCATTTAACCTGAATTTTTCACTACAGATTTCGCAGATGCAAATTTGAAATTCCGATGGATTTTGCGCTGAATTCCGATTGATTTTTTCGTCGGCCGATTTCAATAGACAGCAGGTTAGTGACAGATTTAGCTCTTTGTCTCGTCGAAGTAAATTTTTCTGTTTCATTGTTTGCAATTTTTTTTTGTGATTTTGTTTCTACTGTATGAAGATAAGTTTCAAATTTCATTTATATGAATTGGGTTTAGCAAAATTTTGATTTTCTTCCCACTGTATGAAGAAAAGTTTCCATTTTTCTGAATTGGGTTTGTAAAATTTTGGTTTTGTTCGTTTGAAATTTCATTTTTTTCTGAATTGGGTTTGCAAATATTTTCATTTAGTTGCGATGTGTTAAGTTGATAATGGCTTCAAACTATGAAGGTTGTGCTGATCTGCCTTTTTAGTGTTACTAAATACTGATTAGATTACTGAATATTTTTCTCGAAAAGAAATGACAAGTTGTGGTAGGAAATTGTAAGTGAAGTTATTAAGCTTCCCAAAAATACGAGCACAGGAATAGTTGTGATGGATTTAACAATTGGTATAAGCTAAAATAAAATGAAAAAAGAGTTGTAGACAGTGTTACTAATAGGAGATGTTGAAGAAGCCTTATAAGAGTATAGCAAAGGCAAATTATTGAAAAATATGTGAACTAAATTAATCTAGTATAGCATAATGGATAACGAGGATTCATATTGCCGATTCCTAGTGTCTTTTTTTAATTTTTATTTGAAGGAATAGCTTATTGATTGATGTGAAATGTTCACGACAAGTGTTCTAGATTTGGGATGAAAAGTTTGAAGTCATATACCAAATCCTTCTATCGATACGGTGGATTTTAATATTAAACCTTTCAAATAAATTGATCAGTAATAACCATAAAATCCTAATCTCTACTCCAACAGACATTTGAGTTAATGTTTATTATGTAATGTGACTTCGACAGTTATTATATCCTGTGACTAATAGTTGTGTAGTCTATCAAGGCAGTTAACCATAGAGACTGTTCTGCATTATGCATAGCCATTCAAGCTTCTCATTTAGTTTTTGTAAGCAAAACATATCTAATCAATGCGCATCTTATATAATCGGTATTTGAATTTCCATTTGAAGCATCCCTCTGGTTAATTAAATTAATACCATTTACCTTTATAAGCTTGTGCTTTGGAATTTATGCTGATTGATTGAAATGTAATCCTGGATCTCTGTCTTCAGCTGAGGTGCAGAGCTTCTTGTAATGGAGAAGGGGGATTTTTGCATCTCCACTATGGCATCATCAAATATCGCAGTTCTATTAGCTATTGGTGTCATCACTTTACTTGTGATACGAATTATTTATGTTATTAATAGGAGAAGAAAGCCGCTTCACTCCAAATCACCACGATCCCTCAGTACACTTATTGTTCTGGGTTCAGGTCTAGTTTTATGTCTGATAGTATTTCTTCTGTTTTACTGCCTTTTCCTTATACTTGTTCTAAATCTTAAGTTCAACTATGATGTAGGTGGTCACACAGCAGAAATGTTAAACTTATTATATGTCCTCCAAACAGAGAGGTTTAAGCCGAGGTATTATATTGCTGCTGCTACTGATAATATGAGTCTCCAAAAAGCACACGTGTTTGAGGATTCCTTGCTCGGTAAGGTATAGTACATCAGTTTAATTTATTTGTCGGTTTTTCGTTCCCCCTTTTTATCAGACAACGATATGTCAAAAAAATGACGAGTGGAATGGTGTGTGGTTTCTTGTGACTATGAACCAAGAGAGGATAACATTTTTGTATTAGGCTGTTAACACATTATTCTTGTGACTTTTCTCAATTCCTTTATCAGTTTTGAATTAGGCTTCTAAGTTTTCTTTTGGATTTTAACACCTCGTTCACTGTGTCCAAATATTTAATTGCCTTAGTTGTTAAGTGACTAGTATAGCCATCAGTCACCCAGCTCCATCATTGTTCCCAGTTGCTTGCTCATGCAGTTCAATGTGAAAAGTTAGACTTCACTTTTTGTACCGGCAGAGGTGTTAAAGTGCCAAACCATGTATGTTCAACATCAGGCGGCAATTCTTAGGAAGTTTGGCTTGCATATCATCGTAGCCTAATGATCTCTCCAAATCAAAATGTGTTGCTTCTTGTAGAGCCTAATCTTAGAACTCATAGACTGGCAGTCCTTATCGTTTACAAATATATCAAAAATAAAGATTCATAGAATGCTCAAACACCGATTTGTGCATCTAGTATGGTAAATCACATGATTTCTCATATGATCAAAAGAATTTTAGAAAATCAAATTATGTATCTCAATGCATCAAACAATTGGTATACCAAGTCCTTTTACTTATTATTTGCAGTAAGAGATGAAAAATGTTTCTGCAAATGTGTTCCATGTATATATGTAACATTTAGCTATAATTGTCTGCATACAAGTATGTGTACCTTGCTTTTCGTCTCTGAGATAAAACCATAGTCTGTATGTTCTTTCAGATTGTCTAACTTAGGTTTGGAGGGGTCTTCATTCTCTTCTAGTTGTTTAGACTTCAGAGTATTTGAAATACATATCCTACACCACAGAAGCCTCCTCTTCTCCCGGAACTGATCATGATATTCTATTCTTAATTGGCTATATTAATAGGACTACCTCTTATTCTAGGAAGCGCCTGAGGAAGTAGGGGGAGCTGAATTCATGCAGATATATCGAAGTCGAGAGGTTGGTCAATCGTATATAACCTCAGTTGGAACCACATTGGTTGCAATTGCACATGCGTTATGGTTAATGATCAAGACCAGACCCCAAGTGGTATCAGACAAACCTTCTCATATTACCATTTACTCCCCTTTGAAATTGAAATTACCAATCTGCAGATACTTTCTCCTTTATATATCCTGGTCTTCTGATTTATCTTTATTTGGTACTTTGTCTCAGATTCTGTGCAATGGCCCTGGAACGTGTATTCCACTATGTGTAATTGCTTTCCTTTTCAAGGTTTGTTTATTAGATAGTAATCTTTTGTTCTTTTAACTTATTTGTTTTGTCAAATTGGATGCTAGAATACTGATTACATGCAGAATATCTCTGTTAACGTCCCGATTTAGAAAAAAAATGGATCATACTACCTTGATCTCAAAGTCAAGTCCATTCCTGTATTTTCAACTATCTTGCTTGGACTCTTAAAAATGCCGACAGCTGCATGTCGGATCCTCCAAAAGTACAGTGTATTTCGGAGTATTCGAGAGGTGATGCCACATTTTTGGTGTCCTAGCAACATAGATTTCCAAGTGTGTAGGATGACAACAACTTGGACCATTTTGTCTTTTCCTTGTCGGTTCATAAATATTTGCCTCGACTTATTTGGTTTCACGGCCTCTCCAAGCTTATTTGGCACCATCCCTTTAAAAAGTGTGAACAAACCTAACAAAAGGAGGAAGAGAACAGTCAATGAATCAAAAGAGAGCACTTGACTACTCACAGAGTCACATTGATATCGAACTTGCAAACGCTTTTAGTTTCTTATGATCCTTCAAGGTGACATTTGAGGTGCTAATTGAAAGTTCAACTTCTTCAGGTTTTGGGAATTAGGTGGTCATCAATTTTCTATGTCGAGAGCATTGCAAGAGTCAGGAAGCTGTCTTTAAGCGGTTTACTTCTTTACAAGCTACACATGGCAGATCAGTTATTCGTGCAATGGCCACAACTAAAAGAGAAGTATCCGCGAGCTCATTATGTTGGTCGTCTTATGTAATATCAGTTTCTGATCTATTACAGTGAGGTACGTAGTACTCGAGCTCTCTTAATGCGTTTGAAGAGTTCTAAAAATGGATGTAAAGGGTCTTCCTTTGAAAGAGAATATCATTGTTATCTTCTTGAGGCAGGGAAAGAAATTAATGATCATTTCGAAGTGATTGGCATCATTGTTGTTGTTATGCATATAGGTAACTTGTTAAAGATTCCAGAGAGAATTAACAAATATAAGTGTGTTTACGTTCCACTTTTCCAAAGTATTATACATGAGTAAACCTTTTGACATATTTTAATATGAATTTAGACTGGAAGCTCACATTCTTGGCATCAACTTAGTGGCAAAGTTGTCTCCATGTGAAATTTTGTTCACGTGTTCGGGCTGTGGATCCTTCGTTGATACCTGTGTCAGATAAACTGCCTATGTCATACACACCTCGGGATGTAGCCCTTTCTTGGACCTACAAGTCACGGATTTGAACTGTGACATCACCCTTTTGATACTTGTGTCAGGGTAGTCTGCTTACACCACCACCCCCTCTCTCCCCCAATTGGTTCTTGCCTATGTCAGAGATGTAGCCCTTTCTTGGAAGTTGTCATACAAGTCACACGTTCGAGCAGTAAAATCACATGTTTGATACTAGTGTCAGGGTAGGCTACCTATGCCACCCCCTCGGTGTTTGGCCCTTCCTTGCTTCCAGGTTATAGCCGTAGAATCAACTGTTGATACCTGCATCACGATAACCTGTCTACATCACGCACACCCTCTGGATGCAATCCTTCATGATACTTCTCGCACCAAACTTTTCTCAGCCTTGTTTTCCAAATCATCAAGATAATGCTGATTCATATATGACAAGAACACCCACATAGCCAGAAACATAGAGATCACTTTAACACCACTCATCTTCTCATGCAGAAACAAAACAGAGAAAATGGTGCCATTGGCACACCAAGAATGCCAATCACATTGGAGAACAATGAAGACACCTTGAAAATCAATCCAGTTGAACCAACTGTGAAAAATTGCCAAGAAATCATTCATCTCTTGTCTCAAATTCCTCGACTCTCCACTTGCAAAAATCACCACCAAATTCGTTAAGGATGCCACTAAGGACTCATAAATTGTCATTTCTATGATCAATCGCAAACTTTCCCTCTTAAATATTTTCTCAAACGATAGCCTCGTGATGGAAAGCATGAGTCCATAACCAGCAGATGCAGCAAGTGTACACAAAAAACCAGCAATGGAGTTTCTCTTAGAGTGCTTGTTATTAATACTTGTGTCATTTTTTTGAAGCAAAGGAGTGAAGAAGATACTGTGTGAAGTACTAAAGAGTTTACTATAGAAGAAGTGATTTCTTGTTTGTTCAAAAAGAAAGAAAAAAAAAGCATTGAATCCAAATTGAGCAGTACATATAAGTGTATAAGTTGTAATAGGAAGATAAAATTGACCTATAGAATAAAACATACAATTTCCACCTAAAAATAAACCAAGTAAGATATAAAGAGGAACAAGAACCAAGAAAGATGGTTTTTTTAATATCTATATTATTGGTTTTGGTTGATGATAATAAGAGAAAAGGGATGAGAATTGGGAATCCAATATTTTGTACTAATGAAGCTAGCCATATGTTATTGCCTCCATTATTAAAATATAGTTTACCTAAGAGTGTACCAATTGCTTGGCCACATGGAACAAAAGTTCAATAAATAGCTATTTGGATCCACCATTTGTATTGTACAAACTTGGGTACTTCTTTGGATTTATTTTGATGATTCTCATAGTTTTCTTCCTTTTGAGATCTATCACCTGTTGCAGTAGACATTCTAACTATAAACATGAAAATAGGAGATATTTTTTTAGGCATGTTAAATATGAAGAAATTAATGAATCATTTGAGGTACAAAATAGAATGGAGAAAGAAACCTTGTTTTAGTGGCATCCCGTGTTAGCAGGGTCATATCTCAAGGGGTGTTACGTAGACAACCTAATGCTTTCACGATTCAAATTCGTGATCGTTGCTCCAAGACTCTTCATGGCATGAAAATATGCAGTTATGTACTACTAATGCTTTAATGACACTATAATTTTTAAAACTAGTTCTTAATGATGAATCCTTACAATATATGAATGTATCTGCCAGTAGAAAATCCATAAAGCTTCTAATACTTCCCTTTTTTATTTTACATGATACTGAACTGAGATAAATATATCAAAACGTATGACGAAGGGTAAATATGACTTTTTTCTGAGATTACGAGGTCAAATATAACCTTTTTTTGTTTTTTTGAACATAATCAAAAGGAAAAAATGCCATATTACAGAGAAAATAAAGTTCACCTGGAACATGGAATTGCAGTTGTGATGCAATAACCATTTTCAAGAATTTCCAAAATTAAGATGTAATAAAGAATAAGAAAAGAGAGAGAAAAATATAAAGCCTCTTTGTATATATATATATATATATATTCGTTTTGAAGCTCGACTAGGTCAGATTCGTGCGAAAAAGTCTCAATTTGGAGTATAAAGCACTTCTTACTAAAGATGATTCGTTCCACGTAGCTTAAAACTGAAATATTTTATTAAGAACGGAGTAATACTTATCCTTTCTTTACTACTTATAATAGAATGGAGCTTTCAACTAGAAGAACAAAATAATTATATATTTATCTTTGGACAGCCCATTCTTGGATTACGTATAACTAGCTATGTTGCCAGTATTTTGTAATTTCCTAGGTTTATGTTCCTTTAAGCAATATATATATATATATATATATATAGTTGATCACATTTATATGTACACTTCTTTAAAAGTTGACAAAAATAAAACATAAAATTTACAATAGAATAAGAGTTACTCTGAGGAGTTACTCAGTGCACACCAAAAGAGTAGTAACGGCTGCGAGTTTTTCCAGGGTTGGGTTCAACTGGAGGAAACTTCTCTAGAGTTTTGTTCTATTAATTCTTCCTTGGCCTCCATATAATTGAGATATTGTTGATAAATTTGTGAACCAAATCCCCAAAAGGCTAAAAACATAACCACCAACTTCAAACCCTTAATCTTATCATGAAGAAAAACCACAGCAAAAATTGGAGTAATTGGAGCCCCTAAGTTGTTAAAAACATTGGACATTAGGGGATTGACTTTAAAAACTAGCCCAATTGATGCCACAACATTTAATTGACATGACATGGCTATAAAAGACAAGATGATGACTAATTTCCCTAATTGGTACTTTTCCATCTCCATGCTTAAATTCTTCCAATCTCCACTTATAAAAAAACCTAGTAGGATCACTATGCTTGCAACTAGGGTTTGGTAAATTGACATCTCTATAATATCTATGAACTCCCTAGCCTTTATTATTTTTCGATACGAAAATTCCGTTAAAGAATACATCAAGGACCCACCAATCGTAGAAAAAAACCCTAGTAAAAACTTTCCGCTAGACGTTTCCCCAGACTCGTTATTATGAACCACAAGAATGACTGAAGCAGCTGTTACAAGAACTAGAGAGTTTACTATAACTGGGGTGAACTTATGTGCATTGTGGAATAAAGAGAAGATAATACTAAACCCTAGTCGAGTGGTACTAGTGAGAGAATGTGTTGATACTTGAAGGTACTTTAGACCGATCGAGTTGAAAACACTAACCCCACCAAGTAACACACCTAGAACAGCATAAACTAAAAAGATTATGCAAATATGGGGTTCTTGATTTCCTTTGATCACCTCAATTTGGCTATGATTTTTGAGTGACACAGTGTATAGGAAAGGAAGAAGAATTGGGAACCCTGCATTTTGCACTAAGGAGACTAACCATATACTTTTACCACCTTTGGTAAAATATGTTTTAACCAATAGTGATGTTACTACTTCTCCAATTATAGTAAAAACGGTAAAAATGGCAACTTGGTACCACCATTTATGCTTGGCAAAGTAGGAACAACAATTAGTTGATCCACTTGATTCAATGTTGGAATTTTCATCCTCACATATTTCTTCATCTGTCAAAAAGATAAAAGTTAAATTAATAAATAAGGCACTAAGAAGACGAGTTTAAGTTATATATTCCATCAGTTTAACAAAACTATAAACGATGAGGTCACCTGATACTGTAAAAATTCTTCACAATGACATGTACATAACTCATACGATGAGAATAATTCTAACTAAGCCAATGAGATGATGGTTGGAAATTAAAATTGAATCTTACTTTATGGACTAGAAAAACTTATAATAGCGCCAAGTGTAATAAAGTAAGCTTTTGAAAACTTACTATACAAGTAATAGAGCAAAACGTAACGGGACAGAAGTGATCACTTAAGGATTTAGCTCATATATACCGATTCATATACCATAATAAATTATTTATCATATTTCACGAATTAGATCATGTTTAATTATAAGCAATATTATATGTAACTAAAAGAACTCCCAAGTCCCAACTTAAACATGCTTTATTTTTTTTTCTAAAACAAGCTTAATTTTTAACAAAATGGCATTTATTCCCAAATTAAAAAAAATTACATTAGAAGCTACAACGGAATATATAATTTAAGAATTGGTTTGTGATAAGCTTTTGGAGTTTTCTTTATTTTATTGTTTGGATTAATAAACAAATCAACACACACCTACCCCACTATAATTTGCTTTTAATTCTTGTCCTTTACTTTATATATAAAGAAAATCGAGGATCAATAGAAAATAGTTATTGTGCCTGATAAAGATAAGGATAATTTCTACGTATATTATATTTTTTTTTGAGATTTTTATATATAAAATTAATTGATGCATAGAAATTTCACAAGTATAGTCCGAAAAAAGTAAAGTTAACGCATATTTTACTACTACATTGAGAAACAAAACTAATAACTATTTTATCCGTCCACTTTTATTTGTCATATTGCGTTTTTCAAAAAGACAGTTTGACTAATTTTAAAAGTTAAATTAAATTATATTAATTTAATATTTTAAATAAAAAAATTAAATATTCATAAATTATACATTATAAATTGCATTTTTTTTTACAGATCAATATAATGAAAAAGTACATCTTAAATGTTAGTCAAAGTTCTTAAAAAATAAAAACTATAATAAATAATAATGAACGGAGAAAGTATTTCCGAAAAATCATAACTCGTTATTTTCTCATAATGAATTATCATTGCCTCTTTTTTTATTACCCTACAATTATTGTCTCTTTTTTTGGCTACTTTCTCAAAATGTGGCTCTACCATATAGTAAAGGTCACAATTTTCATTGCCACCTAAAGATGTCATTTTAGGAAAAAGCTTATAATATAAATATATATAATATGACAAAAGAAGAAAAGATATTTAAAAGCACAACAATTATCACATCTACAAATAATAGATATTATTTTTTTCAATAACTGTATACCATTATGAGTTCAATTAAATCTAAATTTTTGAGATGTATGTGTAAGAATGATTAAACTATAATAAATAGGGGATGTGACCTAATAACTTTAAAAATATAACATATTTAATGAACCTTAACAAATTGAATTTATAAACCTTAAAATTCTGAATTTATTTATGTGTTTAATAAATACTTACATGATCAATTGAGATTACAACATATAATATTCAATAAAATGAATGCTCTATAACATAAAAATGAATATTTGCATAAATCAATTTTCCTTATTACAATTTCTTTTATTTATTTTCGTGACTTAAATTTAAGATTTCTAATTTAAGTGTTTTAAGATTTTATTTTAATAGTTTAAATATTTTTCTACTTTATTATTTTTTTTAATTTTATCATTAATGATATATTCTTCTAACCGTACAAATATCAACACATGTTTGAGAATTAAAAATTTGAACAACTTTCTGATGGAGCAATCAAGTCTATAATTAAGCAATTTTTTTTTATTATTATTTTGGAAAACGACCAGCCAAAGAGGATTACTTGTCAAATCATTTTCATAAAAGAAAAAATATATAATTACGAAGAAAAAAAATTAATAAACCGAAGTTTTATAAATGACATTTGAACCTGTCCCAATCACGAGCAGATGCAATCCTAAAACAGAAAAAAAGATTCAAATATATTATCCATTTGTTTTAAAAAAATTCATCTACGTAATTTGTTTGAAAAGTTTAGCTCGCTCATTTATGTCACAATTTGTTAACTGAAATAGTATAGATGGCTTAAACTTTTAACGTATGACATAGATGACTTTTTTTTTAAAATTTAATGATGTATTTGAAACTTTTTCCTTTTAAAGAATGATTTAATTAATAACACGACCAAATCATTGTTAACTTCGTTTGTGAAAATTTGATGACATATTCGAGATTTTCTCCTTTTAAAAATAAAATAACTTTTACACTACAAATCTTGCTCCCATCCCATCCCATACCCTACCCGCCTATACTCCTACCCTAACCCATACCCCTACCCTACCCAGCTACCCTCTTCCTTCTTATTTCGTCTATCTATATTATATATAAATATTTTTAAAATAATATTTTCTATTCATATTTACTTACCAAACATATAAAAATTAATTTTTTTTGAAAAAAATCTCTTTTTTAAGAAAAAACATTCTCCTCGAATATTTCCAGTCATCCCAAACAGACCCTTAACTTAATGGCAAAAACTCTATGATATCTGCAGTTGAATCAAAAAGAAAATTCCATCTCCAACAAACAAACCCATCTTGTGTTTTTTTTTCCTTTTCCTTCTGCGGTTCTCGATACTTGTATTGAAATTTAACTAAATTAATTTTAAATCATTTAAAGTATTTTTACGGAGAAAAACACTCACTAACATGATTTTTTTTCATAACTAACAATTTAATTTGAGAACTTTATTAAAAATAAATGAACCTCAGGTTACTCCCTAACAAACTATTATTTCATAACGAGGGCTAGAACATGAGACATCTAACTGAAAGTGAAAGAACTTAAAATTGTTCTTTTGTTAAATGTTTTTACATAATCAAAACATAAATCGGAAGCATCTAATTAAAGGTGAAGGAATCTCAAGCAATCACACACTAACAATTTTTTCTTACATAATCAGACTCGAATCAAATACATCTAATTAAATCTAAAAAACTCAAGCAATTCTTGACAAAAGAAATCGTAACATACTCGAATTTGATATCTCTAATTTTTTTTTTTTTAAAAAAGAGGAGAGAATAGATAGATACTAACTTGGGATATCCAAGAGCTTTTGTTGAACTTCTTCCATAGAGTTATCTTTTTTTGTTTTCCCCAAAATTGGGAAAGAAACATACAATATATGTTGATATGTAGAGTGAGAAGAATGAGTGAGAAAGGCTTTTAAGAGTACTTTGAGATATAATAAATTATAAGTTGCCTTATACTTCATGACTTATAAGCTATTTGTTCGATACACAAATCATCTCATATTGATATAAATTTGAGAATATAAATAATTTATTTTAATATAAATATTATTGACGATTTGTATTTTAAATTTGTGAACTATAAGTCAATGAAAAACAATTTTACTGTTGTATCAATGCTTTCCTTCACCTACAATAAGTTACTCTCTCGTTTCAATTTAATTTATTTGTTTTACGTTTTTTTTTAATTTGTAAAAAAAGAATATTTATTTTTGATATTTTTTTAATTTCAACTTATACATACATACTTAAGGTAATAGAGTTAAATAATATTTTAATACATTTTAAATTGTAAAATTCAAAAAAGTTTATTTTTTTTTTAATTTTATGTCAAGTTAAAATTAGATACATATTCGATAAATCGAAAAACAGAAAATATTACTCTTATATTTAAAAAAATGAAAATAAATTAAAGTCAAGCCTGTCCATATGATGACTTTTATTATCAGGTGAATTATATGTTAATTGTAACTTCCTTATTGTGAAAAGATAACTATGAGTTTGGTAACATGAATTAATTTTAATTTATTGGCTCTTTTATGTTATTTTGAAAAATACTATATCAATTTATTAATTTTGCTTGATATTAATTTCATCACATGGGTAGCAAGATACTAATAAATATCAAAATTTTCTTAGACAGAGACAATACAAAATTAAACTTGCAGTAGGGGTCCTCACAGATATATATATATATATATATATATATATATATATATATATATATATATATATATATAAACCAATAATAAGATAGTCGAGTAAAGAAAATAATTTCCATTTATAAGACAAAAAAGAGTTATTTTCTCTCTTTTGGAAACATTTTTTTAAAAAAAGAAAAGTTTCTCTCATAATATATATTTTCTTGAATTTTTTTTGTAGTACTAATATTTATTTAAATTTCTGAAAACAATTGCAATATCTTCCAAAGGTAGAAATTATTGTTGGTATGAAAAGGAAAAGGAAAATGAAATATACACAAAGTAATAAAGAAAGAAAATGACAGAATTTATTGATTTGCCATGAAGAAAATAGAAAAAAATACCTCTTGAAAGGACATTATTTTCTTTTTTTTTATAATCCAAAAATAAAATAAAATAGTAATAACAAATTAGATTATTATTTTTAATTGAAAACAATTGCTTTGAGTGTGATGTTGCTAAAGAGATATTTGATGTATTAGAATTTAATGTGTAAAGACTATATATGAAGGAGACAATAATGACATGTAAATGTATTAAAAAATGTTATATATATAATTAAATATTTATAAATATTTTATTATGACTTGAATTTAAAAGTCTATAAAATTTAAATTTTGAGCATGTCGCTTTATTTTGGAAAAAATAAAAAATTTGAATTAATCGACTTTCAAATTTAATATTAAGCATTGAACGGGAATAAACAATGGAGATAGATAAAGCTTGTGATAAGGTATATAGTATAATCTTTTTCATTTTCAATACTACAAATTCAAAATAATCAAATCTCAATATGAATATAAATTACCAGAACAATATCATATTTCTGCGATTAAAAAAATGTGATGTTATATACCAGACGTAAGAAACCTAAACGTAGGGAAAACGATGCTTCATTTTTGTCGACTTTGATTAATTAGGATAAGTAGATATTAAGTTTTTTAATTAGTCGCAAGAAATGTCTTATAAAGAAACCTAGTATGTTTTGACTTTCTTCTTTTTAATTAAGTAAATAATTTTATATTAATGCTTGTTAATTAAGTGGTTTATGATTTAGTGAGAGCTCAAAAAAATGGTTGACTTAGATTTAAATTATTATCATAGAAAGCAATTGTATAAATATGGATTAGTCAGATTAGTATATATCAAATATTAAATGAAAAAAATATATAAAAAAATGACACCAGGCCAATCTTAATTAGTCATATCAATAAATATTTATTCCATCAACACAATAATCGACTTTCAACAAAATAATTGATGCATAACATGATCGTAAGTGTAAAACTATACAATATTTATACTGATAAAAGATGATAGTTAATTCATAGTTAATTAAGGTGCATATAAATTTATTTCAACATCGTGATTATTTTTTAAAATATATATGATGCCTTAATTGTCCTTGTCCTCCCTAAACGACTTTCTTGTTATCTATGTACTATGTTGTAGTAATTTCTTGCAAGAAACATCCACCGATATTTGTATTTATAATTAAGAAAGTTTGATCTAGTACGAAAGATGTATTGATCGATATTTTTGAAAAGTGAAAATTTATAAGAACTCAATATATATACAAATTTAATAAATACATAACATATATTTTAAATTACATTCTTATTTGTAAATGATTGTTAATTACTATACATTTTAACCTTAATAGTTGACTATACCAATGATAACTTAATATAAGATTTAATTTTGACCTAATCATATTGTTTTAAAAATAGTTTTTCTAAAGAGTCTTGCTTAGTGCCTTCCCAATAGCTAGTATAATTCTTGATATTTGTCATAATTATTTCAATAGAAAATATGCATCATGTCAAACATTATTTTTCATATAAATATAATGTGCAATTTGTCAAATATTAAATTCAATGAGTTTAAAATATTTTCTTGTCAATAATTGAACCAAATTGTTGAGACACTTATATTCCAAAAAACTCTTATTTTTAATATATTTTCTTCTTGCTTATCCACTTTTGCCTCTTTGCTTATTTCCAATGTTGTTTTCCAACTTTGAGTATAAAAAAATATTTTGATATAAAATATTATGTGTTTTAGTAAATATTATTTGTTATAATTTTAAATTTTAAATTTGAAATGTAATTTTAAACTTTTGCCTCTTGCTTGTTTCCTCATTGTTAATTTTTCTTTTTCTTTTTCTATTCGATATATTAAATTTGTTAATCTGACTAATTAAATTTATATTTAATAGGTTCTCTAAAGAGTGAAACATTTTTCCTAAATTATTTTTATATTCTATAACTTAAATTCAAGAGTTTGATTTAATAATCAAAATTATTCCACACTGTGTTTTGGAGTTATTCATATATGTTGATTAAATACTAAACACTTAAAAATCAAAATACGCCTCTAACAACTCATTAATTATACATGAAAGTGAGTGCTGTCATATAAATTGTATTTATAATCAGAGAGTTTATCTCAAACAATAGTACAAGTATTTTTATTTTTTAATAAGAAACACTAGAGCATGTTTTTCTATAAAGTCGTACTTTAGATTAATATATGTTATCTTGATATTGTTCTATTTTTACTAAGAAACACTAGAGCATGTTTTTCTATCAATAGAAAGTAGCACTTTAGATTAAAATATATTATCTTGATATTGTTCTATTTTTACACGAATAAATTAATATTTATATGAATCGAGAAGTATTAAAATAATCTCTCACACTCGTAATTATGAAAAAGGAGATTATCGGTAACGATTTATTATACATATTGCCTCTACTGACTAACATCACTTCTTAGTGTCGAAACAAAAATTCAAGATTATCTCAATATTTTCTGTATGACCTAGTGTGATATCTCATTGTTTCTCCAATGATTAACATCACGTTCTTTTGAGTCTCCAGGTCACAAAATTTAAAAAAAATAAAAATTATTTCAAATCTTCGTGTGTGTGTCTTGGCTCATGAATTATTTGAAGTATACCAATTCCCTTTACAGGACGGACCAATGCATAGGTCAAAAAGCAGGAAGTTCAACTGAAGATTATAACACTTGCATTTCCAATTAATAAATCAATGTCTGTTGAATGGAGAAACAACTACATTCCCAGATTTTCTCATGTTCATTTACATGAAGAAAAAAAAAACAGAAGGGAACGAATACACGTGGTGATCGATAACACTATAGACATGGTTTCCTTCCTCCGACTTCCATTGCTTTTATCACCAAACTTTGAATAGCCAAAAACTGGGAAATTCTTTGTTTTCGACTATCATAACTTGATGAATGCAAGTGACAGACACTACACAAAACTGTTGGAAAAACATACTTACACAATCTGTGGCTGGGGATCAAAGAATTGAATTCTATTAGTACTTCAGTTCCACGTTGATCCTTTTAACTTTCTACCATTCTCTATCACAGTGTCATCTGTTGGGCCTTTTGCTATATTTGCCAAAATGAAGCAGTCCAGATAAATGGTTCTACAAAAAAAATAATTAACGCGCAAAGTAAGTATGTGTGCTACAAGATTAGCAGTTTTTCTGAATTTTAGGATGTTGTGCATAGCAAATAGGAAAATGGGATAACAAACTTACTCATTAATGAGGGATTTGAATAAGGATAAAGGAAATGATGTATAAACACAGAGAAATCGCGACACCAGCAATAAAGTTGTGGAGCAGCTTCTGATTGTCTCTTGTGGGTACGAAAACGGATTTGAGTGTGTTGGTTAGTTCAAAAAGCCTACATGATAGCTGCAATAAGCAAGAAATGTTTAGATAGAACCTACCAGGAGAAAAAATGGTTTACGACTCAAAATTGAAAAGAGTATATATGCTTACCAGTACATAAATTGCTGTAGTCAGCATGAAATTAAGCATAGGATAGCCCGGGATAAATGAAAGGAGCCATTTAGGCTGTCCATTTGGCATATTTGATCTACAGATAATAGTCAGAAAGCAATAAGTCCTCGTAGCATGTAAGTAAAAAAAAAGTAAGTTCTCGAACATACCTCAGCCTTAAGAAGAAAATTGAAATGAACATACCTCAGCCAGATGTGGAACTGGGAGATGTAGGTTTCTAAGGTAATTTTCCCAAGCCACCTACAGTAACAGACCACAGTTAGACAAGGAGAAATCAAAGTAGATTCAACTTATTTAAGAAGAACAAATAAAGATCTTTAATTCTGTAGAGCTTAACTGTTAGTATCAAAACTAAGTGAAGGATGATTTAAAAGGCATTAGCAAAAAAGGAAAGACATGATCGGGTAGACAAATGGT